AAATATTAAAACATTATGATAGAAAATCTAATACATTTGAAGGAAAAATTATTTAAGCAAATTAAGGAGTATTTGTGTTTTATTAATATAATCACTTACCTTTTATATTTGCATAAAAATTAATAAATTTTATACCTAAAATTTCACAACAAGAATAAATAAATTACACAATTAGTATCTTCCAATCACACAATGCACAAAAGGAAAGAAAACTTTAACGACAATCTCCATTTCGTGTCACAGGCAGGATGGTGCAAGTTTTGCCCCTCGAGTACATAACGACTTTTCAGTTTAATTTGAATCAACGTGTTTAGCGCCATCTATTCTCCCGGGCGCGCCATTTTTCTCTAGAGTTTAAATCATGTTCGCTGTTTTCTGATTGGTCCAATAAACATTTTCCTTTAGAAATTTTTGTCCGCATTCAGAACAGGCAAGTTCAACACGGTTTGTTGATGTAAAATTGGTAATTTTTAAAACTTAATTAATATTGCGATATTATGGAAAAAAGCTTTTTTCCTACATTAACATAGAATAATTAATTATGTTATCACAATAAATACTTATCACTTAAGCACTTGACATTGTGTTATTAAAAGTAAGCATTCTAGAGTTCATATTTGTACACATTAAATTATAATTATTTTGAACATTATTTTTTTTAATATTTCAAATTAAAAGAAATTTTTTTTAAATCTCAATCTCCATTTTATTTATAAGTTCTTCACATTTGCTTTAGTGGTGAAAATTCGGAACTAAAATTACATAAACGTAATTTCTTTCATGCATTTTTCGTAGAAAATTTTATTTGATATTAATGAAATTCGTCATATTCATCTAATACACATATAAATGTACATTTTCTGCTATTCTTTCAACTATCTTTATAATCACTTTAAATTATTATTCAATGTATTTTTACAAACTATATTCTTTTCATGTAAATAAAAATTTAACTAAAACTTTATTGTGAAATTAATGTGTTCCTTTTAATTGCACTTACTGTATCTTTAAAATTACATTTTTTTGAAAAAATGTTGCAATTTCTTTGAAATATAAAATTTTAAATATAGTGCAAATTTATAATAATTCATAAAAGTATATTGTTACACAATTGAAAAAATTCATAAAGTTTAAGTTTTAATCGAGGTTTTTAATTTGGTACATTAAGAGAAATCAGTGTAATCTTTAAATAGACACTATCTGTAACATACATTTCTTATACTTCAGGCAAATGATTTTGTGAAATGAACAAATTCAAGCAATGTGCATTAAATAAATACATCATTTTGTAGTAAAAACATTGAAAACATTTTCATATATTATTTTATTACATTATATAAAATGTCTTTTTAAATTGCACAGATTCCCCTTCTGTGTAAGCTTATGTATGTTATGAATTATACATATGATTATATTTCTATAACATGTTTTTATGTATTTTATAATTTATTGTATTATAAATAATATATCACAAACAAATATTAGGCATGCCTTTAATAAGTGCATGCTTAAGGAACATACATTTAAAAGAGTACTTACAATTCATATACATACATAAGTATGTACATATATGTACACATTTTATGATAAATATAAATAACATTTCAATATGTTTTGAACTTGTAATAAATAATTTTTAGAACGCCAGCGCTCTTATAGTATATAATTTTTGTTTAACTTTTATACATCTAGTAATTAGTACTTTTTCTATTGCTTTTGAATTGCTAAAAATGTTATGATTTATGCATCTTAAAAATTTATGTTTATGATAAAAATATTGGGTATCTACTTTTGCATCTTCATATTTTCATTTATATTTTAAACATTATTCTTAGTTTCATTTAACTCTAATTTGTTGGTAGAATTGTAGCACTTCTTCCTCAAAGGCAGGATCCAGTAAAATATCAATACCTTTCATTCCTGTTTTCATGTATTTTTGAAATATACTTTTAGATGTTTTCCATAAAGCTTGATTTTCTTTCAGCACATCAACAAGTGGTTGTATGATTGGAAATAATGTAGAAAGATTACTAAGAAACAAAATAATAAAGAAAATAATATAACAGATCAAAAATAATATATTTTGCAATAAAGTTTATAAAAAACTTATAAAATGAAAGGAAATAATGTAAAAATATCTGTTTTTGATCAAATTTTCCTTTATCTAATCTTAACTTAAGTGTACTATATCTTTTGTGAAAATACATATACTTACATAAAAAGTGGAAGGACTATATTTGTGATAAATTCAACTTGAAGATCTGGTATAGATGCTCTTTCTCTATCCATCATTTCTATGGGACAATTGCCCATACTTTTTTCCAAATCTCCTTGTGAAAAGAATTCATCATAAATATGTTCCTAGAATAAGATTTAGAAAAGTATGTAATATAAATATTAAGAATTTCAAATGTTGTATCTCATCTAAGTAATTCATATTTATATTTATACTCACTGCAGTTTTTTTAGAAACTTTCCACTGTTTAGTTTGATCACTAAGATCACAGCATGTCATAAGCATATCAAACAGCAGTTTTCTTTGTTTGAGATCATTTTTGTCAAATTTATTTCTGATCATTTCTACTTGTTTTTCTACAACCCGAAAATGAGCTGCTAAATCAGTTGCAAGTATAGTATTTCTTAACAGATCTAAGGCTTCACTGTACTCTTTACTATTAAAATTTTCAAATATATTGCAACCTTCTGTATTTAAAATACACATTGTCTGTGCCAAATGATGTCTCTGTTACATAGAAGAACAATGAGTTATTATTATAAAGCATAATCTTTGTACCTCAATGGTATATAAAACAAATGATTTACCTCCATTACTGAACCCTCAGAACTATAAAGACTAGCTAGAACTGTACTGCATTTAGTTTGAAACGAATTATTTGTTCCTCTATGATCTATGTCATGACACAAACATGATACCAGAAAAACTAAAGCTTGTAAATGCGTCATGTAATTCTCATTAATAAGATTCAAATTTTTCATTAACAAGTACGCAAAATGTGCCACCGAAAATGCATGCATCCAGTTATGATAAGGAGCATCTCTGTATCCCTTCTTAACATATAACACAAACCTGTAAAATTTGTATAAATTAAGTTTTTATTTTTACAATATTAATTTTATGTTGAACATTTTAAGGAAACTTAAATTCAAACTTTTATTACCTGGCTAAAGTTGATAATTTCAATTTCCAATACTTAATAAGACCTAAGTCATCAAACATTTTAATCGTATAACAAGGCATGTGTTTGTAAGGTACATTTCTAGGACTAAATTGGAATTTATTAAAATCTTTTATATTATGTTCATCTTTGCAGTTTAATAGTGCTTGAACAGTGTCTTCTTCTACCTGTACATATAATGCTCTATTGAAAATAGAAATTAATTAAAACATTTGTATATTTTAACAAGCTTTACCTTCATATGGTACATCATTACTTCATTACTAAGTTTATTTCTTGCTTGAGCATCTTGCATTTTTTTATAAACAATACTATGCATTATAGAAATACCACAGTAAATACTAAATGCTGTTGCAACTTCTTCATCAAAAACATCAAAGTACAAACCATCTTTTTTATTGCATAGCTGTGCAACTCCTACAATTATAAAAAAAATGTTCTTATTTTTATTTAATTTTTTTAAGTATAATTTAATTTTAATTTACAATTTCCTGCAATTGTTTATCTACAAGAAATGATAATCTTTACTTACCTACAATTCCATTTTCATCTCTAATTGGAAAACATAAAATATTTCTAGTTCTGAAGCCTGTTACTTCATCTATTCCACGATAGAAAAGAGGATGCTCATATGCATTTCTAATATTAAGCACATTTCCAGTAGTTGCAACATGGCCTGCTATGCCTTGACCTATTGGTATTCTCATTTCTCTTACAGACTAGAAATAATTACAATCTTAACTTTATTTATGAAATGTGAAGTCTTATTTTTTAAACTTAAACGCACTTCTTTCATAGCAATACCATCAAACACTTTAGCAACTAGATCTTGTTGATCAGGATCCAGTAAAAATAATGAACATCGCTCTGCATTTGTTAAGTTCCTAACTTCAGCCATTATTTCTCGTAAGAGGTCAGAAAAGTCTCCTATTTATTAATATTTCAAATATAATAATATGTATATTCTTTTTAAAAATATTTATTATTCTG